TAAATGTCTGTCCCCCTACTGAAAGCTGTAAGGGGGTAATTAACTTTTGTGCGCGCTTGGCCCCCGGAAGCTGACAGCAATTTAGCGTGAACCCCCAGGGAGTTAGGTCGATCCAGATGGATCGATATTAATCTGTGGGAACCCAGTCAATATAAAAGGGTCCACTTTTTCGGAAAAAAGAACCCCCTTTCGAAATTGCTGGCTTCGGGCCTGTATATTAATGTTTGAGATACACCTTCTGTTGTTTTTTCCCTTCCTAGACGCAGTGAACGAAGTTGACACATTTACCACATCCTTTAATGTTCTCATATCCTGCCAACTTCCAGGGATGAGTTCATAATGGTTTTTTGTTTCACTTTCTAATGCTCAGTTTTGAAGGCCATGGTATCGATTAGAGGTGCAAACAAACAGCCCTCAAAATTATAAATTAGCGGTATATGAGTGCGGCAAAAGCCTTGTCAGGAGGCTACTGAATCTGTAAGCAAAAAACCAAAGCCATTTTAAAGAACTAGCTTTCAGTGACAAAACCTACAGTGGAAAAACCTCTCTCTTCTTCGGATAGATTGCGACGTTTGAAAGGATTCATTATCCATGCAGGTAGGGAGGAGAAATGCATTGTCGCCAATAATTATAAGGAAAAAAGTGGCATCAGCTTGTCATCTCCTGATAGAGGTTGAGGAGCTGGTATACCAACAGTGCCATCCTCTATTATCCTAAAGCCTAGATTACATTTACACGGGCCGTGCGATGAAATTGTCCGTACGATTTTTTTTTTATATCATAAGGAACTACGGGCTACGCCTAGTATGTCTACATTACATGGCCTTAGATTCGTACGATTTAACACATGGCGGAGATGGTGGCAAAATGGAAGAAGAAAAGAATTAGACATATGTGTGCTATCTTCGTCCAGAGCCAGAAAATCGCCAAAAGTCGTCTAGCATAAACTATCTTCTTCAGAGCTTTTCCATAGTCTGGAAAGAAATGGAGAAACTTCAACTACTAGCCAGAACTGTCCGACTCCATAGTGAAATCGAGAAATCTGCGGTGTGCTCAGGCCAAAAGGAAACTGTCCCTTTGCTTCTGAACGGTAATGTATTTATAAATAGGGCCAAAGACGTACTGGCGACTCTGGCTGAACTGGAATCTTGCGAGAAAGATGCTGGGCCCTTGCACCTTCACGCCGAGGAACACATCCGCCGAGCCCAACTGCGAGCTCTCTACCAACGCATTCATCAAGTTTTTGTCAATTTGTGCCTTTCGCTGGATATTGACGAAAATACCTTCGAGGAGAACGCCCTTGTCAACACACAGGACTTAACTCTGTCAAATGAAGAGACACATAAGATCATGACCACTCCGGCACGAATACGGTTTTCCCTCAATCGGGACGCACTTCACGGCGACCTTCCCGTAACTACCCCACAAAATGAGCTTCCCATATGCTCGTCCATTTTGTTTGGCAACCAACCACGGAGAGCGGCCCCCGTAGCCTCCTGCACCAGCGGGACTGAGCACAGAACGGCTCCCCTCGCAAACGGTCCTGGCCATGTTATACTGCAGCCTGCGGTCTCAGCGCGCCCTTTTAAAGAAACAGAGGGCATTACACACGTGGAAGATCAAATTTCTGCTCTGCGTCAACTTTACATCGAGGTGGCAAGGTGCATAGAAGAGAAGAGTCCAGTGTTGGACAAGGTTGAGAACAACGTGCCCGAGAGCGCGCCGTTTAAAAAAGCCAAACCGTACACGATACAAGATAGCAAAGATATGGGCCAATATTTGCCGTTAGATGAGCGTTTTGCACAGCTAAATAATTCGCGTGGCACGTTCACATTCGTACTGACTTCATCGAAGCTGATAACTATGAAAATGCTTGCATAAATATAGGAATAGATACTTGTGAAGTGCCAGCATCTGATGCCATTCCGTTCCAAACATCTGGAAGCAAAGCGATGCGTCGCCAGCTAGCTAACGCAGGGCCAATTATGGAGTCGCCAATGGGTTGAACTGCCAATCTAAGAATATGTTAATAACGTAGGCTATCCTGATATTTGGTCTATTTTACACACAGTATACTCAAAAACGTGTGACGTTTGAAGAACATGTAGAGAGATTAGACGAGGTTTTTACCCGCCTGAGTGCAGCAGGCATGAATCTTAAACCACAGAAATGCAAATTATTTCAGTTTAAAGTGGAATTCTTGGGACATGTGGTGACGAGTGATGGTGTGCGACCCGATCCAAGAAAGTGCGAGGTTGTAAAAGACTGGCCGACACCTATGAATGTTAATGATGTCAGGAGTTTTCTAGGACTGTGTTCCTATTACCGCCGTTTTATTCCACGATTTTCGATGAGAGCAGGGCCAATGAATCGACTGTTGGAGGCCGGACAGACGTTTCAGTGGACCGATGAATGTCAGAAATCGTTAAACGACATGAAATCTGCTCTTACAGGTGAAGAAATAATGGCGTTTCCATGTCATGACGGCCTTATCATGTTAGACACCGTCGCTTCGAATGTTTCTATCGGAGCTGCACTTTCGCAAATTCAGTGGTGCGAAAAAGCGCAGAAAGAAGTGGAGAGGCCTGTTGCTTTTGCGAGCAAGTCGTTGACAAGAGGACACCGTCGCTATTGTGTCACGAGAAGAGAACTTTTAGCGATTGTAACGTTTGTTCAGCATTTTAAGCATTATCTCCTCGGAAGAAAATTCTTGATTCGGACTGACCACAGTGCATTGTATTGGCTTATGTCATTTGAGGAGCCTAACGATCAAATTGCCAGATGGCTAGAATTATTGGCCCCCTTTGATTTTGTAATCCAACACAGGAAAGGTAAAAGTCACAGTAACTGCGACACGTTGTCGAGAATACCGTGTGAGCCGAACGAATGCACCTGTTATGACGGACAGGCAGTTTTAAGTGAACTGCCGTGTAAAGGTTGTGTTACCTGTGTGAAGAAACACGAACAGTGGTCCGAGTTTTTCCAGGTGGATGACGTGGTGCCTATGACTGCAAAAAGCGTCGCAAGAATTAGAGAAAACGTACCATCAGAGAGGAAATTATTCACATCAAAGACAGACTTAGCGACACAGTTGCTCACTTAACGGCAAAGTTAATGAGCCCGTTTCTAGGATTTCTGTTTGTGCTGTTGACTATTTCTCAACTGTTAAGTGCATGTTTATTGAAAGTAGATGTTGCCGTGAGATCGTGCCGAGACTGTCTTGTGAGATTCAAGTCAGTGGGAGCGCGAGAAAAGCTAAAGCGTCTCAGGATCAGTGACAGTAATCGTCAACGTGAATTGCTGGGCGCGACAACGGAGCGTATGCACGTGGGTGATCTCGCAGCGAATTCTGAAGACCAGAAAACTGCAGACGAGGGCGGACCCCAAGAAGGTGAGGCAAAAACCGACTGTGAGCCTCGTGTAGAATGGGTGAGAGGTTATAGCGCAGCAGAGATTGCAAAGTTACAGCAGGAAGATCCTGATCTCGAGACTGTAATAACTTGGATGAAAAGCTCCAACGTTAGACCCCCCAGGGACCAGGTGGCTGCCGAGAGCCTTGCTGTGAGAAGAATGTGGTTGCTATGGGACTAGTTGTTGCTTACGCACGGTGTGTTGGTTAAGAGATGGGAGTTTACAGATAGAACTGGGTTTAATTTCTAGCTTCTTGTGCCAAAAAGTATCCAGTCCTTAGTCCTAGAAGCTACACATAATTCTGTTATGTCAGCGCACCTCGGCGTAAACAAGACAACCTGCAAAATAAAACAGAAATTTTACTGGTACAAACTGAAAGAAACTGTGAGAGAATGGATAAGGAAGTGTTCGGTGTGCGCTGCACTAAAACGACCACTTAGGACTCCAAGAGCACCCCTAGGGCGTTATATCGTGGGCGGCCCAGGTGAGAGGGTTTCCACGCTGGATGTGGCTGGAAATGTACTCTCTCAGTCACATAGTACAAGGCTAGAAATGGCCAGCTACAGGTGGCTGGAAATGGCCAGCTTCAGGTGGCTGGAAATGACCAGTTACAGGTGGCTGGAAATGACCAGCTACAAGTGGCTGGAAATGACCAGTTACAGGTGGCCGGAAATGACCAGCTACACATGGCTGGAAATGACCATTTACAGGTGGCTGGAAATGACCAGTTACAGGTGGCTAGAAATGACCGCGGGGGG